GCCCAGGTTTTGGTTAGTTTATCTGGTCCAAGTCTGTTAAACTGGCCCAGGTTGTTGTTTGGTTTATGTGGTCCAAGTTTGGTAAACTGGCCCAGGTTTTGGTTGGTTTATGTGGTCCAAAGTCTGTTAAACTGGCCCAGGTTTTGTCTGGTTTATGTGGTCCAAGTCTGTTAAACTGGCCCAGGTTTTGGTTGGTTTATATGGTCCAAGTCTGTTAAATTGGCCCAGGTTTTGGTTTGGTTTATGTGGTCCAAATCTGTTAAACTGGCCCAGGTTTTGGTTGGTTTATGTGGTCCAAAGTCTGTTAAACTGGCCCAGGTTTTGGTTGGTTTATGTGGTCCAAAGTCTGTTAAACTGGCCCAGGTTTTGGTTAGTTTATATGGTCCAAGTCTGTTAAACTGGCCCAGGTTTTGGTTTGGTTTATGTGGTCCAAATCTGTTAAACTGGCCCAGGTTTTGGTTTGGTTTTTGYAGTCCAAATCTGGTAAACTGACCCAGGTTTTGGTTGTGGTTTATGTGGTCTTGTCCTAGACACTGACCACCTCTGGCGAACCACATCTGGGCCACCAATGGGCTTTCATTCCTTGCTGTATCTGGGCAGACAGTTAGTACCTTGTGTGGGCCAGAACTGGACCAGATAAAAAAGGTTGTTTACAAAGTGAAACCACAGTTTATCCCCATGCTAGTGTTGAGTTAGCATCTGTTTTAGCTCGTATCACTCTGTATTTGTCAGTTTTTCATTTTGGCTGTTCGCCAGCAGTCTCTGTGTTCAGGTCTGCTCAGGACTCTGATGGTGAAGGGACTTCCAGACCTCAGACCTTTAGTCCTCCACAGCTGACCCCATCCTCCGCTCCCAGGTGGCCTGGACTGGCTCCGCTGGGCTGGGTGACATCACCATCATCGTCCTGCCGTCCTTGTTGTGTCTAATGGAGGCGTGGAGCTGGCTTGTTAATAATTTAGGAGCTCCGGTGCACTTTTAAACCCGGCCCTGCAAGGCTAGCTGGGACACTGGCCCTAAGTGCATTAGTCTAATCATCAGAGAGGAAACTAGCCTTCATTGACTGAAATATGATCAATAACTGCAGTTCCTGAGTCCCGAGGGGGGTGGGGGGACCCATCTGTCTCAGGACTCAGGACAACCCTCCAAGAGCAACCTGAGGACGATTGATTTTCACTGTTAAAACCAACAAATGTTTTCTGAAAACAAACAGCTGAAGAGTTGTTGTGACATTTATTTTTGTTGTGTAAATGCTGATGTAGCAACTTCTGCAGACTTTGATGTCTCTCTTGAAAATCATGAAGATCTTTGTTCTCTTTAAAACCTGCTTCAGCAAACTGGCTCTGTTTTTGTCTTATGCTACTTTTAGCTTCAGATAATGTTTGACTAATTTTACCGCTCTGCTTTTGGCTTTTAGTTAGCCTTTTGCTCATTTTAGCTAACATTTATCTGTTTACCTTATTTATGCTACATTTAGGTAGATACTTTCAGATTTTAGCTAGCATTTGACTGCTTCAGCTTTCAGCTAGGATTTTGCTACTTTTAGCTAGTGTTTTGCTAATTCAGCTTTAAGCTAGCATTTTACGTCTTTTAGCTTTTAGTTAGTATTATGTTCTTTTTCGATTTTAGCTGTACTTTTGCTACATTTTAAATAACCTTTTGCTGCTTTCAGCTAGTGTTTTTTTTACTCTCGGCTTTAAGCTAGCTTTTTGCTATATTTGGCTAGAGTTTTTTCTATTTTAGCTACATTTAGCTCATTTAAAGTTAGCATTTAGCTATTTTTACCCTTTGCTTAATATTTTTATCACTTTTAGCTTGTGCTTTCTTACTTTTAGCATTTAATTAATTTTCAACTAAAATATAGTTATTTTTACATTTTGCTTAACATTTTGCCACTATTAGCTAGCTTTTTGCAACCTTTTAGCTATGATTTTTGATAATTTAAGATTTTGGAAAGAAAATTAGTACTTTGTTACTAATAAATTTTGTTCTTCAGTAGAGTTCTGCTATCGTTAAGTATACCTTTGCATCTTTTATCATTTAGCTAGTATGCTGCTCCTTTTAGCTTTTAGCTACCCTTTTGCTACTTTTAACTAAAAATGTTATAGCTAAAATGTTTTTACTTGTAGTTTGTTTTGTAACTCAGCTTTTTTAGCAAGTTGATTTAGCTAGTTTTTTGTTTTATTTATATTTTAGCTACTGTTTTGCTAATTTTATCTTTTAGCTAGTGTTTTCCTCYTTTTAGTCTCAACAACTCCTTTTTAGCTCAGTATTCATTTTGTATTCTCACAAAACTACAACCTTTCTGTAATAATTCACTGATGTTTGTACCTGTGTGTGTTTAGTTTATTAAACATATTCAACAAAAAATTGTTTAGATGAATTATTTCATGGATATGATGAACAAACAATAATTTTAGCTGCTATTTGTGTGAACTATAAAAGAAAAATTCTATTTTAAAACTCTTTAATTCATTGATTAAATTTTTTGGAGCCATAAAAAGATGAGTTCTGATCAGAGTTCAGAGGCTGTGTGGACTCTGGAAGTCACCACAGAACACCAAACATTGACTTTGATTTTGAAACGCTTGAATCCCAAAACAGCTGAAGTTTTGAAAAAGTTCTGATAAACTCAACTTTTAAAATGTATTTCAACTGAAGAACTAAGTTTGATCAGCACACACTGAACAACCAAATAACAGATTGGATCTGATTCAAGGAGATGCCTTGACCCAGCTGACTGACCTCAGCAAACCTTAGCCTACACGAAAATGGTGATAACTTGACCCGTTTTACAAAATATTGAGCTACAATTTGCTGTGATAGTGGCTGAGAGTCATCCCCGTCACATATTTTGAGTTCTAGCAGATTTGTTAAATATTTAGCACATGAAGTGGTGTGCCAAATAAGCAGTTGTCTTTCTGTTCAGACCAGTTTAGCTCAAGTTAAGTTGTGTATTTTTTATATAACTTTACATGTTTCACCATTCGTCCAGTCAGATTTGCCTCTGATAAGAAGCAGCAAGAGTTCTGGCTGTTGTCCATCAACCCGTCTGCGGACAACAAAGGAGATGGTCTGGTGACCCCAGAGGTTGGCTTTCTTTGTCTCAGCGTTTTGTCGATCAGATCAGAGCTGACGTTTGCCCGGCAGGCTGACTCATCGGATGGGTCAGATTACTCCGCCCTGAGATGTTAGAAGACTTTTTTAAAGATCCGTCACACCGAGTGTCTACATCAGCTTAAATTAGACTGATACCCTCCTCTAGAAATAAAACATAGATCGTTTTTGTTTAAAATGTGAGCAAATATAAAATAATCTGTTTAAAGAAGAAAGATAGATGGATGGATGTATGTTTGGATGGATGGATGTTTGGATGAATGAATGGATGGATGGATATTTGGATGAATGATGGATGGATGGATGGATGGATGGATGTTTGGAT